ACTTCACTGTAATCTGTTGAAATCTGAGGTTCCACCATTTATGGTGGAAGGTGAACAACATTTTGAAGTTAAGTAATTTTGGAGTCCTGTAAACATTGAGGAAGCCTGCAATACCTGGCATCATGGAAAGATTTTCCCACTGCCCGAAATGAATGGGTTAACCACTGCCAGTTAGAGCCCCTAAATTAATCAAACGGTTTCACAATCAATATCCTAATAAACCTAAATGAAACTAAATGTTTTCTTTTTCTTTCCTATTTATTATGTTATGTTCTACAGGTATAAGCCATCCTTTTGAGAGGCCAGCATCTCAGGTCTCCTCCTGGGACATGATGGAGGAGGGGGAGAGGCTATCAGGGTTGCATTCTCTGCATGCTTTCGCTTTTGCTGTAACCGCATGGGATTTAGGGGATTTAGGGAAGGGGGGCTATCTTGAAGACGGATGACTTCCTCCCAGCCAGTTCCAGCCTGACACTAAGGTTGCTGTACTCTGGGGATGAACTGCTATCAAGCTAACACCTCAGAGTTCTCAAAAAACCTATGCAGAATTGTATTGGCTACTGGTGGATTGGTGAAGGGAGATGGGGTTTGAATTGGGAAGAATAGCTTAACACTTTGCACAGGAACTTCAGACTTCTCTGCAATCACTTTCTCTCAGTAAAAGTTCCTTTTGGTAACTAATTCTTTCAAGAGTCATGCCTTCCTGTGGGGATAGCAGAGGCAGGTCCTTACAACATCTTCAGATGTTAACTCAGAAAGCTTTTTTTCCGAAAAGAAACAATGGTGAGCCCAGACTGGTAGATGTATGGTTAAATAATAACTTTCATTCAAAGTGAATATATTCTTAAATCTAAAGAAAAGTTAAAGTCAGAAGGATGTGTCTGTCATAGATTTACATATATGCAATTGAAAGTTTTAAACTAGACAAAAAAACTATGGGTCTGGAAAAACTATGGGCTTGGGAAAAATTAATTTGAAATTGTATTGTGTGGTAATGATGAACATTGCTGAGGTTTATAAACTATTATTGAAATTGAATTTGGAGAATGAATATGAAACAAAACACGATTCAATGGGCAAAGAATTTTGGGTGTAATATAATGCTTGAACTATGGAACACATGTGGATGAAGGGTTTAAAATTTACACTGAACTATAACTTGAAATAATTTTTTAAATAAAATCATGTGCCATTGTTATTTAATACTGAATAAATTGTTAAAGATGCATAAAGGTCTTAGCAGATCCCAAATGGCAGAAAAGGCTACATAGGTATGTAAGACAGTGGAAGTTACTCTATAGTCTGAAATTCTAGAAAACAAAGCTGAAATTGCCACTGTAGATTGAGCATACGGTGAGCAGTTTAATCTATTAAAGAAGCAAGTGCGCAGTCTTCAAAATTTTAAATTGAACAAATAGTGTCATTCCATCTGACACAGGTTCATGAACTTGAAAAGTAGTGTTGTAAGGATCTGCCTCAGCTATCTTCTTAGGAAAGCATGACTCTTGAAATGGTAGCAGTTAAAAAGGAAACTTTTTCTGAGAGAAAGTGATTGCACAGAAGTCAGGTGGAATCTGAAAAGCCTGCGCAAAGTATCAAGCTATTTTTCCCTCTTCAAACCCCACCCAATTCCCAGTCCCCCAATAGCCAATAATATGCCACAAAGGTGTTTGTGGTGGTTGGTGCAGCACTTTGCAGCTTGGTGGCCTTCTCTGCTGCACTTGAAACAGGCAATGGAGTGTGCTGGCTGGGTTTACCTTTCGGTTGCCTCTCTCTTCCTCTCTGAGAGTGATTTCTTTCAAACTTTGGCTGAACAATACTGTTTCAGGTCTGGTCGATTTCCACTTCCTCAGCCAGCATACACCAGTCTTTAGAGGTGAGCCCTCCCCCCCCATGACACATGCAGTGTACAGGTCATCATTAAGCCCATCTTTGAAACAGCTCATGAGGATGTCTTCTGGCCAGTCAAGATGACATGCCAGGTCATGAAATTCCTCTTATATTCAGCCATCGGTCTGTTCCCTTACTGGACAGTCTTTATGTGATCTCTGGCTTTGCAATTGGCTAGGGGATCTTCAAACTGCCATTGGAGTGCTGTCATAAACTCAGGGGTATCTGAATTGTGGAGGATTACCATCCATCGGGCTGCAGCCCTTTCTAGTGCCAGCATGACAACTTTAATCTTGGCTCCTTCATAGGGATCTTGTGGCCATATTCCTGCAAGTAGGTCAGGACATGGGCCGGGAAAAATCCCAGTTGTTGGGGGTTCCCATCAAATTTCATGCCGGGGGGGGGGTAATCTTCCACCTCCATGGCCCTGCTGCCTTTCCCACCCTTTGAACATTGGGGCCCCTGGTGTCTCTTGGCTGAGGTCCCATAGCTGCAGCAGCCCCTGCCAGGATGACAGGCACTGCGACTGTGGTATCAAGAGACAAGGATGTCCATTCCCCCTCCTCGGCTTGGCTCCGGCAGCCAATACCTCCCATGCTTTCAGGCTCTGGAATGCATCCATCATGCAATGCAGCATGATTAAGTTTATCCCCTTCCTCTCGTCATCCTCAAGTGCCTCCAACTCTTCTTCCCAGCCACATTGGCAGCTGTCTTGGATGAGGGCGACTCCCTTGGTCCACCCCTCTCAGTCATCTTTCTTCCCAATGCTGATGGACCATCTGGGTCTCCCAGGCTGGCAGCTTCCTCTGTCCATCCTCCAGCCTTGGTTTCTTGATGAGTCTTGCCAGAGGCTTCCCCCCAACACTCAGCCTTGGGTGGACATAGTTTGCAAGATCCCCACAGTAGGGCTGCTTGCCTCTCTGGGTTGACCACTTTGCAGATCCCACTTAATGTAAGGACCTGCCTTAGCTAACTTTTGAGGAAAGCATTACTCTTGGTAGTTCAAATTGTAGTTCAAAAGGGAACTTTTACTGAGAGAAAGTGATTGCACAGAAGTCAGGCAGAATCTGAAAAGCCCGCATAAAGCATTAAGCTCTTTTTCCCTCTTCAAACCCCACCCAATCCCCCAGTCCCCCAATAGTCCATAATATGCCACAAAGGTGTTTTGAGAAGCTCCAAGATGTTAACTTGATAGTAGTTTACTCTCAGGGCACTGCAACCTTGGGTAAACTGGTTCTAACTGAGAAGAAGCCCATCCATCCAGCCCCTCCCTAAATCCCCTGAAGTAAAGCAAAAGGGAAAGCATGCAAAGAATTCAGCTCCAGCTACTTGCCCCCTCCCTCTTCAGAATGACAGCATCCCATCGGGGACCTGACAAGTGTAACACTTTTACACTACTAAATACTTGCACCACTGTTTTTTTTTTTTTTAATTTGATTTATATGCCGCCCTTCTCCGAAGACTCAGGGCGGCTTACAATGTGCTCAGCAATAGCCTTCATCCTTTTGTATATTTATACAAAGTCAGCTTATTGCCCCCACAACTGGGTCCTCAATTTACCTACCTTAGAAAGGATGGAAGGCTGAGTCAACCTTGAGCCTTGGCGAGATTCGAACCCTGCAGTAATTGCAGGCAGCTGGTCTTAATAACCAGCTTAATAACAGGGTGCCTTAAACCCCTGTACTACCAAGGCTCAACACTGTGCTGTTGTTGTTGGCATTGAGAACAATGCATTTACAAAGGAGTTGCAGAATCCTGGAAAAAGAGACAGTTGCTGTTATGACTGAAGAGAGGTGCCTTGTATATATTCCCACACACCATGAAATCCATCTTCTGAAGAATGGATATCCTAAGCCAGTATTCCTCAACCTTTCTGGCTTTGTGGACCAGTGTGGAAGGGAGGAGAGAGGATGGTTCTATGTAAGCTGGGTGCATGTGTGTGCAACTCCATTTGCATGAGCAGCAGGCATACACACCTGCTGCTCCCACAAATTGAGCTAACCGCATGTATGCATGCACTTATCTGCCACTCACACAAATAGAGCTGTGTGCATGCATGCACTCGCTCACCACTTGCACAAATGGAGCTGCGTGCATGCGTATACTTCCCCACTGCTCATGCAAATGGGAACTGCATGTGCACATGTGCTTGCCCACCACTTGTGCAAATGGAGCTTTGTGCATGTGATCATATGCTGCTTTTGTGGCCTGATACTGGGCTGTAGCTGGCCCGGTACTGGGGGCCTGCCCTAAGCAGTCTTGCAGAATAATTGCATATTGGAGCCATCTTAACTATGCACTTACTTAGATGTTGATTAATACGTCTTGCCACTGTGGCTGGCCACAGAAACTAGAAGATTTACTAGAAGTGAGCCTTGGTACTACAGGGGTTTAAGGCACCCTGTTATTAAGCTTATTAAGACCAGCTGCCTGCAATTACTGCAGGGTTCGAATCTCGCCAAGGCTCAAGGTTGACTCAGCCTTCCATCCTTTCTAAGGTAGGTGAAATGAGGACCCAGTTTGTGGGGGCAATAAGCTGACTTTGTATAAATATACAAAAGGATGAAGGCTATTGCTGAGCACATTGTAAGCCGCCCTGAGTCTTCGGAGAAGGGCGGCATATAAATCAAATTAAAAAAAAAAAAAAAGATTTGGCTAATCCCTAGGAAAGTGAGATGTGCTAAAATGGATCAAAGATTTACACTAATAATTAAGGAAAGTTAAGACTGGAACCTCATAATGAAAGCTGAGCTTGGAAATTTGCACACGTTCCTGTTCAGAATGCTGGGAAGAGGCCAATTTCAATAAAGATTAAAATAATCCTCTGTTAGGGTTTATTTTAACTATCATCTTGATTATTCTATGAAAACAGAATAAAATAAATTCTTGTAACTGATTATGAGACCAAATTTTTATTTCTGTTTATATAAGCAACAAAAACCCTGCCATGTGTAGGTCAAGGGCATTAGTATTCAAGTAAACCAAACAGGTAAGACGACAGCATCAGGCTTGTAGAAAGCCTAGAACAGTGCTTAATCCTCTGGGAATGGATTCGCAATGGGACTCCAATAAAACAGCATTTTTGATACTGACTATCTTTGTTCTTTCAGGTCCTACCAACTGCATGCTCCTTAGCATAAGTTGCTAAGGAGAAAGATCCACATGGAATAGACCTCAGGCTTGCAAGCATGAAGTTGCTACATCAAAGCAGACTAATCCTAGCTGGAAAAGCTACTCTCTACTTGGCGTGGTCAGACCACCAAAAGGACATGCTACTGTTATCAGTAAGGCTGGCAAATTCCATATTCCAATCATTCATTCCAAAAGCAGAACAATAATCACAGAAATAAGAGCATGTTGTAGAGTAAACAAACATTAGTGGAAATCCAAGCCCCTCTGTGCTCTTGAAAACTTTGCTAAAGTCAATGTTTTACTAATATGTGTCTTTTAAGAGAACAGGATGTATTAGCATGCCTCCACTGATAAGAATTCTATTCTTCATCATACTAGGGCTCAGTATGAGGTACTTGCAATAAACCCAATCTCATAGACTGAAGCTTCTACCGTTAACAATAGAAAAAGCAACTAACAAATTATTCTAGCTCATGGTAGTTGGCATTCATCTCTCACACAAATGTTTCCCTAGCAGCTCTGGGTGGCATATTTCTGATGCACGATGGTCTTGTTTCTTTCAGAGGGCAAACCACATCCTCCAGTTCCCAAGAGATCTCAGCCATGTAGGGGGAATGAATAGGATAAAAAGGTTCTGGGTTCTTTGCATATGTAGTGACTCAGATAAGACAACAGCTAAATTGTTTAGATTTGTGTGCATTCCTGTGCCCATTTTAACTTTGAAACACAATGCCTCTGAGGTCTTTATTAAAGTGGTATTTGACTTGTAAGTGCTGTATACCCAGGAGCAATGGATATCACATTGCCAAGCATTGACCAAATCTTGCTACTGAGGAACTGCATTTTCTTTATTGAGTATAGATCTGTCTCAGCACAGGGGAAAGACACCTTTTCTAGGAATGCAATAAAGAAATTGGTATTTTCCTAGCTAATGGTAGGAAAACAGTATTCCAAGGATACTGTTCTTGTTTCCACAAATCATATAACTCCTGTAACATAGTCAAGCAGCAACTTGCTTTGAGCTTTTTCATTGTGGTGTTCAACACAAAAGGCTGAACATGTACACATGACAGATATCTTTGCTCAGTAAAAACCCTGGAGGTTCACATGAAAATTCTGGATAGATTTTTCTTTCTAGGAACAAAGACTTGAATCTGAATTTTGGGATCAACTAAACCCTTTAGAACTTTCCTATCATGTTCTTCTGTAAATATTAATTAAAAAGCCATGATATAAATCCTACTTCATTTTTGTGTGTGTGAAATCAAAATAATACTAACGCATTTAAATGCAGTAAATATGGAAAAATATAATGGTTCAACATCTATTGCTTTTCAAAAATAGAACACACGAACTACTGCTCTGAAGAAAGCAGTAAAAGAATGAGAATAGGAAAAAATGAACAGATGTCTAGATCTATGAAATAAATCTGTTGGAATTTAATCTACAGAGACTCTCCTGCCATCTCTGGAAGCTCCTGGGCCCAATGCAAATTTTCTTACTAGCTTGCAAGTTCAGTGTCAGGTTTCGATGCTATCTCAAAATAAATGAACTTCCAAACTGCCAATCTTTAAGGAAATTTTCTCTTTATTCGAGCACAGCAACCGGATCCTGGCTCTTCGCGGTCAATACTGACCTTTGCCCCCCAATCCCTCCCTTTCCGATCCCCAATTCTCTGCTTCTCATTGGCTATCTTCCAAGTCACTCTCCTGATTCCTTTTCCCGTCAGTTCACAGGAATGTTTCCCCACTCCTCATCTCCAAGGAGACCGAATCTTCAAAGGGAGTTAGCAGGCAAAAGTTCAGGCTTCAGCCTCCCTTTTCTATGTCAGCGCTGAGACGCTGACATCCGGCCCCTCTCCCTTCACTCTCCCAGTGAGGCCTGCGCGAGACAAACAACAAGTTTAGTACCTTACCCCGTCCGAGGGTGTGTCCCACCCCCCCTGGCTTGTCCGGGTGATCTGCATGGAATTTAGCTATAAGGCGGTCAGCTTGAATGTTCGTCCTCTTCACCTAGGAAGCTTCTGACAAGGGGTAACCCTTCCACTTAATTAAGTATTGGAGGTGCCCTCTGTGCCACCTCGAATCAAGAATTCACTGTACTTCATAGTGGGTTTGGCCTCCAATAATCAAGGGCCCTGGGGGATCACGTGGCGCCGGCCTTAAAGTTGACCCTTTCATAGGCTTCAGGAGGCTACTGTGAAAAACGGGGTGTATCCTCCCTAGTAACTGGGGCAACTGCAATTGTACTGTAACCGGGTTGATTATTTTTACTATCGGAAATGGTCCTATGAATTTCGGCCCCAGTTTTCTGGTCGGGAGTCTGAGTCTTAAATACTTGGTGGAGAGGTAGACCTTCTCCCCTACTTGGAACGGCCTCTGGGGGCTCGGTGCTTATCTGCTTGTTTCTTATAAAACCGTTCCGCCTTGTCTAATGCCTTCTTGACGTTCTCCCAGGTTTCTCTCAGCATTGCCATCCATTCGGTCAAGCTAACTGAGAAAGGAGGCTCCCTTGCGTACTCTGGCATGGGGACGAAATCCATGCTGCTCACTATCTTAAATGGGGTTAGTCCTGTACTACTGTGAACAGCATTGTTATATGCGACCTCCGCAAACGATAAGAGGTCCGCCCAGTTCGATTGTTGGTAGTCAACGTAGCACCTCAGGTACTGCTCTATCATGGCATTCAATCTCTCCGCCCCCCCCATTGGTGCTCGGGTGAAACGCTGAGCTGAGGCCTTGGGATGATCCTATGGATCGAAGGAATTCCCTCCAGAACTTCGCTGTAAACTGGACACCTCGATCGGAGATGATTCTTCTGGGTACTCCATGCAGGCGGTAGATGTGTTTCACGAACAGTTTGGCCAATTGGCGGGCTGAGGGTAGTCCGCTGCAGGGTATGAAATGTGCCTGTTTGGAGAATAAGTCTATTACAGTCCAGATCACTGTGTTTCCGCTGCTCCTCGGCAGTTCGACTATGAAGTCCATAGCAATCTCCTCCCATAGCCTTGACGGTTCAGCTACTGGCTGCAGCAGCCCCGGGGGCCTTCCTGATCGGGTTTTCATCGTGGCACACATGGTACAACTTTTTACATAGCTGTCTACGTCTTTTCTCATGCGGGGCCACCAAAACTGTCTCCGTGCTAAATGCAGAGTCTTTAGGAAACCAAAATGTCCCGCTGGTTTGACGTCGTGACTCCTCTTGAGGACCAAGGTGCGTAAGGTCTCTGGGACATAAAGTTTCATCCCTCTCCATGCTAGGCCATCTCTCTTTGTCAAGAGATGTTGATTATCTCGGAACCAGGGGTCTGCCAACGTTTCTGCCTTGAGCCTTGTCGTTAGGTCACTTGCTGGTTGCCCCGGCTGGTCTCGATGCTGCCGTCTGGTGGTTACCTGGCCCACTCCTTGGGCAGAGGGGATGATGGCATTCACTACCTGCTCATGTTCACTGTTGTATTGAGGCATTCGGGAGAGGGCATCGGCCAGAAAGTTCTTCCCCCCTGGGATGTGCTTCAGCTCGAAGTTGAAACGATTGAAGTATTGGGCCCACCGGACTTGCCTGGGCGATAACTTCTGTGGGGTCTTGAGGGCCTCCAGGTTTTTATGGTCAGTCCAAACTCGAACGGTGTCTGGCCTTCTTCTAGCAGGTGTCGCCAGGTTAACAGTGCCCACCTCACTGCGAACGCTTTTTTTCCCCACGCCACCCATTGTCTCTCTGTGTCGGTGAGTTTGCGGGATGTGTAGGCACAAGGTTGCAGGTCCCCCTGGCTGTTCTTTTGGAGTAGGACTGCCCCTACTGCCACATTGCTGGCATCTGCTTGGATGACGAAGGGTTGTTCGGGGTCAGGATGCTTCAAGACCGGTTCTTTTGCAAACATTTGTTTTAGTGTCTCGAATGCCTGTTGGCAGGCCGGGTCCCACTGTAGAAGTTGTCCCGGGCGGGGTTTCGTTGTCAGACTCCCTGTCTTTAGGAGGTCCGTCAGAGGTTTGGCAATTCTTGCAAAGAAGGGGATGAATTGCCTGTAGAAATTTGCGAACCCCAGGAAGCTTTGTAGTTGCTTGCGGGTGCGAGGGGGTCGCCAGTCTAGGACTGATTGTACTTTAACTGGGTCCATCTCTGTCCCCTCGTTTGACACTCGGTAACCTAAATAGTCTAGTCGCGATTGGTGGAACTCGCATTTTGACAGTTTGACATAGAGGTTCGCTTTCAGCAGTTTTTCCAGCACTTTGCGGACGAGGGGTATGTGTTCGTCTATGGTCTCCATGTAAATGAGAATGCCATCTAAGTAGACGAGGACCCCCTTATATAGGTGGTCATGTAGAACTTCATTTATCAATTGCATGAACACCATTGTCTATGTAGTTTCGCATTTCTTGCATTTCACAGGGCGTCATGGCATACAATTTAGGTTAAGGTAGTTTTGCCCCGGGGATGATTTTGATGGTGCAGTCGGCATCGCGGTGGGGAGGTAGGACGTCACACTCGGTCTCGCTAAATACCTGTGCTAGGTCTTGGTACTCTTTTGGGATCTGCTCTGCTTCATGGGAGATGTTGGATGTGACCCCCAGCTGCTTCGCAGTGCCCTTCGGGAGGGGCCCTTGTGTCGGTGCCATCTTCTTTTGTTCAGGCGGGGGAAGTTGGGGTTCGAGTGTGGGGGGTATCTGTCCTGGTTGGAGCGGCAGAGGTTGAGGCCCCTTTGCTATCCTCAATCTGCGGGTCCCCTCTTGCCACCAGATGATTGGACCCCGCTTGTCTAGCCAGGAGAGTCCCATTATGACTGGATCGGCCATCTTGGGGGCTATTATGAACTGAATCGTCTCCCAGTGATCCCCTAGTTCTAGCTTCACTGGCTCAGTCAGTTGTGTGGCATAAGCTCTGCCTACTAGGGTCCCATCAACTTGCTCAAATTGAATTGGGTGGTTGAGCTTCTTAGCTCAGATCCCCAATTTTAGGACTGTGGGTAGATTAATCAGGCACCTAGTGCAGCCCGAATCTATCAGGGCTTGGAAAGTCTCTTGGGTTCCTGTTTTTGGGGCTGTTAGGCATATGGGGAAAAGGAAAGGGTGGATGGGTCCACTCACCATCGGGTCATCTTCACCATCGTCCTCGCTGTCATACGAGTCGGGGGATTGGTCTCCATCATCCGGGACTCCCCTTGTTTCGGTCAGGTGGGCAAAGACCTCTGTGCCTGGGGGGAGATTTCGTGGTGCATCGGTGGCTCGCTTGGGGCCCCGTTCCCGTCGTGCCTTTGGCTGAGGGTTTGGCCTCGGGCCCGGGGTTCCACATGCTGCTGCTAGATGGCCCATTCCCCCACATCTGTAGCACCTCATTGGGCTCCGCGGAACGAAAGGCCTTTGGGTAGGCCGTAGTGCTGTGGTTCCTCGTCTGGTATGTGGTCTCGGGTCCGATTGGTATCTTTCCCTGACCTCTGGTTGCTTTAGCATGTCGTTGGCGTGCAGCCCCCTTTCAACTTGCATCGCCACACGGAACCATTCGGAGAGTTGGTTCGGGATGTCCCAATAAGCGGTCACTTGGGCGATCCACTTATCTAGGCTTGTTCTGAAGAAATACACTAGTAGTCACTCTGGTAGGGGAGGTAAGGTGCCAACGACTCTTCTGAACTCACGAATGTGCTCCTTGATAGGCTTCCCTCTCTGCATTAGGTTTCTGAGTTCGTCTTCCACATAAGGGTCCTCCCCGGCTTCCTCAAACCTCGCCCATAGTAGTTGCAAGAAACCATCTGCGTCTTGCAGTTGGGGGGCTCTATTCTTGTAGAGGGCTGATGACCAAGTCTTTGCTTCTCCCTCCAGCCCTTCTGAAATGGCATTGACTAGGGCTCTGGGGAATGGATAAAGGTGCCCATAGCACTCGATATAGATCTCAGCTGCGTCGAGGAACTGCGCTACCTGGTCTGGATCCCCATCGAACTTCCCTCTGAACCGGGGTGGCTCTGCCCTCGGTGGCCCCTCCTCCCATATTGGGGCTCTGTGAACCTGTCTAGGGTGTCGTTGGGCTTCTTCCTCATCTCTCATTCGGGGGCGGGGGGGCGATGCCCTGTTTAGGCTGGTATGCTTGCTGGGCAGAGGAGGAACCCATGGATGTACACTGGTATTTTCTTTCCTTCTGGTGTGTGTGGGGGGCTGCGCTTCCGTCTATGGTGACTTAGTTCAACAGGGTCAGCTGGCCTCCTTCTATCTTTGGGCCTGCAGGATGGACCCTCTTCCAGTCTGACGGCACGTTCA